TATTTATAAATATTTTAATTTTTAATAAAAAATAATTTTATTAATTGTTTAAATACAAACTAAGAACTAAAGTTAATAAATGTATTTTATTTTTAATCACATTTTAAATTTCCTTTTTTCTTATATTTCTAAACCTTTTTGACACCCCCAAAACGAGTGTCAAAAACTCTCTTCCCGTTATTTTATTTTATAAAACATGGCAACTGGCCCTTAAAATGAAAGCTAGCTTAAGCAGGGAGAAGTTGATACCTAAATTTTTGTAGTATAGAGACAATGATAAGTGCTCCGAATTTTCCCCTGTAGAGTATGGCTATATGCATGTACAGTGCTTTATGCTCATTTTTATTGTTCGGATGTATAGTGTACAGTTTCACGTGCGGAAAATGTCGGATTCGGCAATGTTCGGAAATTGACGTGTGATATCGACAGGCACTGTTCCTTTGGAGCTTTTAAGAAGATAGTCCAGACGAGGTTGCTTCCACGAAAGTTGTACCACTGAGAAGGGCTACCCAAATTAAGAGGGATAACGGAGCATGTTATAAGCGATATATGCGATTTAGATGTGTACTATTTTTTGTCCCTCTGATACTTTCAAATTGGAAAGGGATGTATGCTCCTTAGCTCATGCATAAAGGAACCAATCTGGTGGCTGCATGCAACATCGAGAGCCTTATGCGGCATAACACTAATGTTGATTTGCCAGTTGCCACCACATTTTGTAGCAACCTTGTCCTGTTTCCTAGCTTTGTTTCATTCGTGATGCCACTAATTGGTCCTTTTGACCATTGATCGCTACAGATTTCCCTGCAAAGCCTAGTGTTAAAAAAAGGGTGATTGAAATAATCGCACGAGTCATGGAACAAGTGCTCCAAGATATCACATGTTTATCCACATGCAAAGCAACATAGAGATATTATTACCCTTACAAATACTGTAGAGTTTCTAATACGTACTTTGATAGCAAAGGGAAAAGACTTTGTTTAGAATCCTAATGGCAATGGGACCCCAATAATCTCTTTTTCTCAACTCTCATATCAATCCTATGTGTCGGGACAAATGGCTTGGCCTGGGGTACCATGCACATATGGAACAATAACTTCCATGTAAGGTTCAAATTATGCTACACGTACAATACCCTTTTGGGCATCCCAAAGGCCACCAATTCTTTATCGCCTCGCACCATGATATCCTCTTAATTAGGAAAATCCTAAGCCTTAGAATTTTCATAATAAATCTTAAAAGTACGTGTACAAATTTTTAATCATCAATATTAGATCACTAATGCAAGAGGGGTTACTTTAACTGCAATTTAGTAAGAATTCATAAGTACGAAAATGTTACGAGAAGTTAAAAAATCTGATGAGTCCAACTATAATCATACATAATTAGTAGGAAAATGAATTAAGTTATCAACATATATAAGTGTTATTCGTACTCTTCTTTCGAGCTTTCATGCTAAAAAGCATTTTCCTTCCTTTTCAACTGCCTTTTCATCTCATGGAAGAGTGCTTCCCTAGGATTAATACACACGCATATATATATATATATATAATATTGTAAATGATTACATTTTCTTAATTATAAATTGTAACATTGGAGGTGACTGCATAATTCTAGATATTTATTAAATATATTTATATTATGTTATTGTTTTTTAGAATTGACGTATTTATACATTTGTCTGTACCATACAAATAATTAACAGCTCTTACGAAAGGGAATCAAAGGTTCAATAACTTTTATAAGAAATTTTTTTTCACATAAAGCTTATTTTCATATACCTTCTTAATGAGAATAAAACAGAGAATATGTATCACAAAAAATATTTATTTTTTTTATGGTGAACTGTGTATTTCTTATTTTATTATACAGTTAATATGGTGTAAAAAATATATTAAAAAATAGTGTGAAAAGAATATGGTCTTAATTTCATACAACCGAGTCACAAATTAAAAACAAAAGAAACATATATTTTATTTTGAAACTATACTTTTATAATTGTTTTGAAAAAATTGTAAAATTAATATAATAAAAATATCAGAATTTTTTCGTTTTGCATAATTTTTAAAAGTAATATAAGACAGAATATGAAATTTAAATAATTAAAAAATATAAGAATTTAAAATTGTCATTAATAATTTTTGATGAAGATATAAAAAAATTTCTTGATAATTTTAAAATAAATATTAAAAAATCAAATATAAAAAATCTTCCGTGTTTTAAAAGATTTTCATAGTTTGGCAATTTTTTACATCACACATTTTCATATGAGATAAGTAATATTATTGCTTGAAAAATTTAAGATGATTGTACTAAATACTGAAAAGTTGTGGTAGTCGTGACATGACGTGTGATGGATTGAATTTGGAAGGACTAAACATTAAACATGACAGACTGTTTAACATGTTTTCCAATTATTGGTCCAAAATAATGGAACTATAGTTGAAAGCTACTGTATCAGGGGCTACCATATGTTACTGAAAAAAAGAATAACTCTGAATTCGTGAAATACCTTTCAAATACAATTCAATTCCAAAATCAAGTTGTGTATTATTTTGTCTACAACATTCAATTACGATTCAATTTATTTTTTATGAACTTGATTATAATTAGTTTATTATATTAATAAAAAATGATTTATGAACTTGATTATAAAATGTGATTAAATATTTTCAAACTGAAATTAACTTATAAAAAGTGTTGGAATGGTTTACTAGTCTATTGTGGAATTAAAACACCCTGTGATTATCAAATTAAAAGAAAATTGAAAACTGTTTTAAAACGTTAAACTTTACAGCAGTAATTGTACATGGACGTTTTCTGACCGAATCATAGTTGACCTAGCACAGTTCAGAGCACCAGCAATTTTGATTTAATCATTGTATTACCCGATCTAATGCAAGTGCCATAATTACTGTAAATTTTATAACCAAAGTATAATAACGAGCGTGCGTGCTTTAATGGTACTGTTTTATTGAAATTTTTTTTGTTAAGATTTAGAGTGGATCATTGTATATTTAAGTATTTATTTAACATTTTAAAATGCTAAATTAGGTCATAAATTTAATAATAAAATTTATTGAAATAAATTAAAAATATTTTATTTTAATAAATTATATTTATTAACATTTTTTAGATATGATTTATAAAATAATAAATTATTTATAAACTTTTTCAAGCATAGACTTAATATTTTTGGTCAAATTTAAGGAAGATTTTTTTTCTTAATTGTATTTTTTATTTTTTATACTTCAAAATATATGTGTGATTTTAGTCTCTATAATTTTAATTGTTTATATTCGATTTTAAAATAATTTAAATATTTAAATTAAATTATTTATCTCATTTTTTATTTAATAATTAAAAAATATTAAAAATATGATATTTTATTAATTTATATAAATAAATAATAAATATATAAAATAAAAAAGTAGGTCTTAATATTATATTTTAATGAAATATTTAATTTAAATATTTTAAACAATAGACAAATTAAATATGAATGATTAAAAATTAAAATTATACACATTTTAGAATATAAAGACAAAAATATAATTATATTTTTTTTTTATCGTCAATCCAAGGTTTAAATTTAGAATATCCAACAAGTTACAGTTAATATTCCTTCTGGGCTTCGGCCCCGTACACTGAAAAAATGCAATTACTATATCCTTCATTTAAAGAGACTAATATACACACATATATAAAATTTTCTGAGAGAGTTTTACAATGTAATTATTTCTTAAAATTTAAATTTAAATAAACATAAGCTAGTAATTGGGGGAGAAAATAATGGCAACTATCCTATTATGAAGAGTATATAGTTTTTTTGAACACATGAAGAGTATATAGTTAATATAAGGGGATAATGTTATATTTTCTAATATTGTAAAAAAATAAAATGTTAAATAAAAATAAATATATTTAGCATGTTAAAAATATATAAAAAAATACTATTTTATTATTTATTAATCACAAAACTATCGCATGAATGTTATAAAATATTTGAATTATTTAAGATGGCATCATCTATAAAATATCCTCCTTAATTATGGAAGTCAAATGGAGTCACTTTCCCCATATTATTTTTCCTTTTTGATTTTCGTCACCTATCTTTTTTTTTTTTTAAATATAGTTGACCACCATTGTTAAAAAGATGTTTATCCAAAAGATATTTGTGGTATTTGAAAAAATAAATTGCATACAAACTTGTTGGTTATTATCCTAATATATTTGTTATAATTATAAATTTAATTTTATATTTTAATTTTTCCTAAGTTATATGTATTTTTTTCAAGGCAACAGTTGCATACTTAATATTATAATTTAAAATTATTAATTAAATTTAAAAAATTCATATCAATTGATTTACCTATCTAATGACTTAACTCCAAATCTTGATTCTAACATAACAAGTTACATTTTTTTTTATGAAAAGAAGTCTAATTCCATGCATGTTTATAAAATTATTTTCATAATTTAAATTTAGTGTTATTCCAATTCCAATGGGATTTATAAGTTTTTATTAATATGTATACATTTGAAAGTAACTTTTTTCAAATATTTTCTTATTAAAATCAGTATTTACTTTAAAGTTAGAACTAAAATTTTATAAAATCATTTTTTTTCAAATTAAATTCTTAAGCACGAACTTAAATAGTCAAATACTATAAACAAAATAGCATACTTTAAATCTCTCTTTTTCTGAAAATAACGGAATATAATTAATAATCTTTGCAAGAGAAGGATCCTATTTCAACAGAGTATCCAAATCTCAAAATAACTTACAGATTTCACCAGCCACAAACAAATCGAAGGTTTTGACAAGATTCACTAGATGCAGGGGAAACAACTTGAGAAGATTTGAACCAGAAAATATGTTCGATTATAATTGAACAAAAAAAGAGAGTCGTTGGATATAAACTTGACAGCGTATAATTTGATGGCAGAATGGCAATAATTGAAAAATAGATTTCAGAAGAGTACGAAGTGGAGATAACAAGAAGCGAAGCTCACAAAAACTCAACAACCGAGGCCAAATAATCAGTTGAGCTTTCTTTTCAAAGGAAGCAAAACAATGTGAAGAATAATAGTCACCACTCAGTGATTTACAACGAAAAAAGGAAAAAAGGCAATGGAAGAAGGAATTGAATCGAACCCAAATATAAACTGAACGACACAGAAAAAAAGAAAAAGGGAGAGCGCATCCTCGTACGTTGTGATATTTGGGGGAAAGCGAAGCGGTGAATCTCTTGGTGGGGCAGGTTAAGACTAGGCTTAAAAAGCACGAAAATTAAACATTTATTTTTAACTTATAAAGAGGGGAGTAAGATGGAAAGCGCGTTTGACCCTGTAAATGAAGAAACAGCCTCCAACCACTCTCATAACATAAAACTCACTTTATATTCCAAAATCCAAACGCATTCCAATCCATATTTCATTAATTTGATCTCATGGGAGACATAGTCAAGCACATACTCGCTAAGCCAATCCAGCTCGCAGACCAAATAACGCAAGCCGCCGACGAAGCAAGCTCCTTCAAGCAGGAATGCGCCGAGCTCAAGTCAAAGACCGAGAAGCTAGCCGCGCTGCTCCGCCAAGCCGCCAGAGCCAGTTCCGATCTCTACGAGCGTCCCACGCGCCGGATCGTCGAGGAAACCGAACAGGTCCTCGACAAGGCGCTTTCGCTCGTCATTAAATGCCGCGCCAACGGCCTCGTCAAGCGCGTGTTCACACTCATCCCCGCCGCTGCGTTCCGCAAGGTCTCCTCCCATCTTGAAAACTCCATCGGCGACGTCTCCTGGCTCCTCCGCGTCTCCGCCCCCGCCGACGACCGCGGCGGCGAGTACCTCGGCCTCCCTCCCATCGCCGCCAACGAGCCCATCCTCTGCCTCATCTGGGAACAGATCGCGATCCTCTACACCGGCTCGCCGGAGGACCGCTCCGACGCCGCGGCCTCCCTGGTATCCCTCGCCAGCAGCAGCGACCGTTACGGGAAGTTGATAATCGAGGAAGGTGGGGTTGGCCCCTTGTTGAAGCTCTTGAAGGAGGGGAAAACAGAGGGGCAAGAGAATGCTGCACGCGCCATTGGCCTCCTCGGGCGCGACGCGGAGAGCGTGGAGCACATGATCCACGTGGGTGTTTGCTCTGTGTTCGCGAAAATCCTTAAAGAAGGCCCTATGAAAGTGCAAAGTGTTGTGGGGTGGGCCGTGTCTGAACTCGCTTCTCATTACCCCAAGTGTCAGGATCTTTTCGCTCAGCACAATATTATAAGGTTACTGGTTGGTCACCTTGCGTTTGAAACTGTTGAAGAGCATAGTAAGTATGCGATTGTTAGCATGAAACCCACTTCTATCCACGCTGTTGTGATGGCTAGTAGTAATTCTAATAACGTTAAGAAGGAAAAAGAAGATTGGGAGAACAATGAGAAACAAGCGCAGAATTTGAGTCGGATACCACATCCCTTGGGTGAAAGATCAAGGAATTTGCATAGAGTGATTACTAGTACCATTGCAATGCATGCTGCCACCAAACAGGGTAATCAGGGAAATGAAGCAAATGAGAATCACAAGTCTTCTCTGCCCAAAAGCAATGGACTTGGTAATGATGGTAAACAAGGAAATCATCATCATCATCATCAGCGTAATTATTCACATTCGGGGATTAACATGAAGGGAAGGGATCTTGAAGAGCCTGAGACCAAGGCCAAGATGAAGGAAATGGCAGCAAGGGCACTCTGGCAGTTAGCTAAGGGTAACTCCCCAATTTGTCGTAGCATCACAGAGTCAAGGGCTCTTCTGTGTTTTGCTGTTCTCCTTGAGAAAGGGCCAGAAGCTGTGCAGTATAATTCTGCTATGGCAGTGATGGAGATAACAGCAGTGGCTGAGAAAGATGCTGATTTGAGGAAATCTGCATTCAAGCCTAACTCTCCTGCTTGCAAAGCAGTTGTTGATCAAGTGCTGAAGATAATAGAAAAAGCAGATTCAAATCTTTTAATTCCTTGCATCAAGACAATTGGGAATTTGGCAAGGACATTTAAGGCTACAGAGACAAGGATGATTGGTCCCTTGGTGAGACTTCTTGATGAAAGAGAGGCAGAGGTGTCAAGGGAAGCATCAATTGCTCTCACCAAATTTGCTGGCACAGAGAACTACCTTCACGTTGATCACTCCAAGGCAATTATAAGCGCAGGTGGGGCAAAACACTTGATTCAGCTTGTGTATTTTGGAGAACCAATGGTTCAGATTCCAGCATTGTTTTTGCTTTCCTACATTGCATTGCATGTGCCAGACAGTGAAGAACTTGCTCAGGCTGAGGTGCTTGGAGTGCTTGAATGGGCCTCCAAGCAATCCTCCATGACACATGATGAAACCCTTGAGTCATTGTTGCTAGAGTCCAGGAGTAGGTTGGAGCTTTACCAGTCTAGAGGTCCAAGAGGATTCCATAAATTGCATCAATAGCAAGAAGAATATCACATTGTCATCATTGTAATTTGTAAAGGTTTTTGAGTCATATTCATATTTGTTCTATCATTCTCTCGAGTGTGTATACCAACCTATTCACTTCTCCAATTGCCCAAATGCATTTTGAATCATTTAGATAAGAGTAGTTACATCTTTATACCCATTTTCTCTTTGTTTCTTTTTTCTTTTCTTCGTGTATCTCACTTCCTCCACCCAAATCACACCTCAGTTTGAGGGTGTAAACGTAACATTTTCGATCTAGATAATTGTTCTTTCCAGATCCATTTATTCCACCTTCTTTTCCTCCCCAATTGGCACCACAAACGTCAATTTCAAGTTCAATTGTAAACTAAAATAAGCGAGTGATCATTTCACATTTTTTTCAAAAAAAACTTGAGGTAATTTTTACCCTCAAAGTAGATCGCAAAGTGTTGTAGGCTTTGCTGTATAGAATAGTTTATTATTCTGCAATGGGCTGGACCATATAGAAAAAGACAGAAAAGAGAATACTCTATGACTTTGAATGATTCCTCGGCTTTGGGGGAACGAATACAAAGCAGGGAATATATAAACAAAGCACAAGTATACTTGACCTCAGTTTATGGCGATGGATCGTGGTCCAAAGATTCGATCGCTAGAGTAGGACGTGTTCAAATAACCCATGTCAATATATTTTGATTTATCATGCCACTACAATGCTTTTGACAAAAAAAAAAAATTAAATATTGTTTACTAGCAAATTTATAACAATATTCTCTGGCGCCGTGCAGTAACAAATGCACCATTGACTATTTTATGAAAAGTGGAATCAAGAAGTAGGTATTATCGATGATAACAAGTTGCAAACGGCTTCTCAACAAAGATCCTATTCAAGTTCGAATGTATATACTTACTAATTTCTTTTCTCTGCTGGGTAAAATATCTAGACTGCATGATTTAATTCCGTAGGAAACTTACATAATGAAGCTAAAGCCAAAGTCAGATGAGAAAGACACGCAATATGGCAACATGAAAAAGGAAGTCAAAACAAGTGTGAATTTTTCCCCTGTTCATTAAGGATAGGGTCTATTTAGGAAAACTTACCAAAAATTTGTAACTTCAAAGCTGAAAGCCTGTAATTAGTAATATTAGTTTAGAGTAAATTTTCATAAATTGGTTATAATCTAATGTTACCTAAAAATGCTCTATATAATCTAAAACAAAACTTTGGACTTAGCGGTGCACAAGCCAATGGCACGATGTGAATCACAAAAATATAACGACCAGTCTTGGTATGCATATAGTTGTTTTAATTAGTCAAACAAATATTTATTCAACACAGATGCCACATACAGTTAAACCCGTTCAAGACGATGATCAAATGTCCCCACAAAACGCATGGGATTTGAGCAGAACAAATAAACTACAAGGCATGGCAAAAACGTAGCTTTATAATACTCTCCAACCAAAATTGACTGCGAATGGAACATGTAATGTTATTGCTTTTAGATACTTATGCAATGACCAGTGCCAAACTATTCCAATTTCAACATGGGGTCTTTCAAGCGTATATGTCCATCAGTATTAACCATTGTATCAGACAGAATCAATGTATATAAAAGTTAAAATTAAAAAATACAGGAAAAGGAAGCTACACTACTAAATTCAGCTCAATGTATCGCGTTCATATCCTTATACTCCCCTAGGATGATTTGAAAGAGAATCACAAAACCTCAAGACAAACAATCAGACAGCAAAGTCAAAGCGTCATTTGGTTCGATTATGACAACAATGATCCATTTCAAAGCACAAGTGCCCATGTGAAGCATTGTACAAAGCCTCTGATCCATTTCTTCTGTGAACTTCAGCCCAACCAACAGAGTGGAGTTGCTAAGCCCAAGTTTCTCTTCTTCTTTTTGTGCGTGTCAGCTTATCATGATACTGTTCGAACCAGCTGTGTTCTTGTAATTGTGTGTTCGTGGGCCTCTGTGTTGGCCTGCTTTGCAAAAAACTTTAGAACATATTCTTTCTAATAAAAAAAATGATAAAACCTATTTTCTTCTCTTACAATGCATATATTACTCCCTTCTTTATCATTCTTCTATTTTTAAAACTATCACCTTCTATTACTCAACTTTCATTTTTTTTTTCTTCTTCTCCAAATCATCATTTACTATAAAAATATTTATATCATGCATTTTTTATTTTTTTTCTCCCTCTCATATATAAATTCATCGTTCAAAAAAGGTTTTTATCATTTTTAGTTCAAATCTCCACCATGTTCTTCCCTTAAAAAATGTCATTCCATTTTCTAAAAATCCTAAAGCTCAGATATGAAATTCTAAAAAAAATTTGCAATTTTACATTTGTTTTTTTTTTTTGGCCTAGTTACATAGTCCAATTTTTTGTTTGACTTTTTTGTTAACCTTTTTTAGCCGGTTTGTAGCCCAATTCGGATGTTGACATTAGTGATGATACAAAATGTATTAGCATTTAATACTATAAAGATTACTAATCTATTAGTTGTGTAAAAATATATGAAAAGTTTAAAAATATTTATTCTATTCTTTTTAAACTAAGAATAAACAAAAATATTTTTTTAAGAAATATAACTCCAAAGTGAAAGTAAATAAACAACAGAAAAAACTTATAATTTAGGAACTTCTAATTTTTACTTTGCAAAATGATTTCTCTCTAATGTAAGTGTTAATGTAATAAAACAACATAAAATTATTTTATTCTTACAAGTAAGTGTGATTTGATGAGGTTTAAATTGAAACCAATTTAAAAGCTTGTATGGTTTAAAAACTCGAGTATTTATTTTCACTAAAATGGAAAGAAAGTTTTTAATAAAAATGATTTTTTTTTTATAAAAAAAAATAGCTGCAACAATACATCAAGGCAAGACACATGCTAATTCAGAACATTAAGAGAGACGAGCAAGTAATTGTTGAGTTGCGTGGAAAGTTACTTCTATCTATTGCCCCAAAAGTAGTTTTGTCCATACATAAGCCTGCCAATTAGTGAAAAACCTTTTATTTTTATATATTTATTTATTCATATGTAGCTACTCAAGCGGAAGCCGCTAAAGCATACGACCTTGCAGCAATCAAGTTCGGTGGGATAAATGCTATCACAAACTTTAATATATCAAGATACGATGTTGAAAGGATCATACTCATGAAATAAAAGTGAAAGTATATATTAAGAGCAAAGTAATCAATAAAGAACCTTGCCTTGCTTTCCTTTTTTGTTTTGGGATTCATTCCAACCATTCTTTACCTCACAAATGAACCTGATATCGATCTGTGTATCAATGCCTAGAACTACATGCATACTTGTCCATTAAAACGATTAACCTTGTGAAACTCTAAACCCTAAACCACAATATTTTAGGTCGTGATGTGATTTCTGTGACCAATGTGTCACTTTCATGAAGCTCCCATAGAGACATACTTTGTTGAATGAAATTGAGAAAGATAGAGTGAGTGGTGTTTGGATTTGAATTGGGTACCTTTGATTTCATCATTTGATTATCGGTTCACTCTTTTTGTTTAAAACAATATAATTTAGGAACTTCTATTCTTTGTATGGTTTAAAAACTCGAGTGTTTATTTTCACTAAAATGGAAAGAAATTTTTTAATAAAAATGATTCTTTTTATTAAAAAAAAATAGCTTCAACAGTACATCAAACCAAGACACATACTAATTCAGAACATTAAGAGAGACGAGCAAGTAATCTGTTGAGTTGCGTGGAAAGTTACGTTTATCCAGCGCACCAAAATTTAAATTTTAGTTTTGTCCGTATATAAGCCTGCCTGCAAACTAGTGAAAAACCTTTTGTCGACATCCTTAAGTCTTTAAGGGTTTAAGTGCTGCCTGTTCTATAAAAAGCCTCACCCCTCCTCCCACCTCTCAAAAATCCAGATATAGTTGCTCGTTCTGCATCAATTTATAATTTTTCTGCATTATGGTTGCTTCAACTAGGTTTGGTATCACTTTGGGCATTATATATTTGCTCCAATTCCTTACAGGTGATGATCACATATAGCTAGCAACTATTTTTCATATTTATTTTTGAGATAACAGAAAATCCTTAAAACGCCGGATCTCATCATTTCATGTTATTTTTAATATGGTACAGGTTCGGATTCAGTGACTTTCAAAGTGGAGAACAAGTGCAGCCACCCAGTTTGGCCAGGCATTTTATCGGGGATCGGAACCTTGCCGGTCTCCACCACCGGCTTCACGCTGCAACGTGGCGAGTCCAAAATCATCCCCGTTCCACCTGGCTGGTCTGGTCTCCTATGGGGTAGGACCTTCTGCTCCCATGACTTCACTGGGAAGTTCTCCTGCATCACCGGCGACTGCGGTTCCTCCACCATAGAATGCAGTGGCGGCAAAGCCGCACCGCCTGTTACTTTGGTGGAGTTCACTCTTAACGGAACCGGCGACGGTCTCGATTTCTTCGACGTGAGCCTCGTGGAGGGTTTTAACCTCCCAGTGAAGGTGGAACCTCGGGGCGGAAAGTGCAGCTGGACAGGTTGCGCGGTGAACTTGGAAGCGTGTCCAACTGACTTGAAAGTGATGAGAGGCAGCGAGAGTGTGGCCTGCAAAAGTACGTGCCAATCATTCGATAATTCCAAGTTTTGCTGCGAAACACCTGAGAAATGCAAGTCCAGCTCGTATTCAGAGTTCTTCAAGAGTCGATGTCCTCGTGCAATCGTTTATACTTGTGACCGTGCCGCCTCCAACTTCAACTGTGCCTTTGTTGATTGTTATACCATAACTTTCTGCCCCGCAAGGTAATTTTAATTTTATTGAGATTAATTTTTTGTAATAAGTGATTTTGGAGTTGAAATACTGGCACAAGAAGTCTTCTAGGACAGGAAAACTGTTGATTAAATTTTCTGACGGTCTGTGAGAAGAAGAAAAAACCTGGGTTTAGTGTTAAGTTTCTTTTTTTTTTTACAAGTGATGAATGATAATTGTACTGTATAAGGAAAATCTTTTCAAATTGACGAGAAAGTAGGGTTCACAGCGAGTATCTTTCTAATGTTGTGCATTTGCTAGTTATTTTAAAAACTGGGGGTTGTAAAGGATTTTTCAATTTCATGCAGTTCAATCGAGCTAGGAAATGAGAATTACCCTGCGGCATCGGGGGTGCACAACCCGGGAAGTAATGATGGCGGCTCAGCCAATATCCTCAGGGTGTTTTATAAGTTCATTCTTTCTGCCCTACCAATATCAATATCAATCACAATCACATTCACAATAATGTGTAGATGCATTAAACGCAGATCCAGCGACGTCCCCGCCGAAGCGCAACTAAGCAGCGTCCCCGCCGAAGCGGTAACCGTCAGCATCCCCGCCGAAGCAGTAACTGCAGCGTCCCCCGTACTTTCTGAAGACTGAGAGTGAGTGAGTGGTAAATGTTGTATTCAATAAGATAGTGTGAATCAGTATTTACTTTAAATATTCATAAATAGGCGATGCATTTTATGTTAAATTATGTTTCAAGAATTGTCTGAATCATAATCTGTGTTTTTGAATTATAATCGGATCGTTGTAACTTATTAGTTGGTGGCAGTTGTTGGTAAGTTGGTCTTAATATGTTCATGTTTGTTAGTTGTAAGTTGTTGTACAAATATTGTAGTATTTCAAGAATAGAATAATTAATCTATTCTGCCCATTCTGCTAAAATTTTAAAAGGGGAA